AAACACCAGCCAAGTACCAGTCGGTCGGTTCCGGCCACGCACAGAGTTAGTCTCTGAAGAAATTACCGCGTTAGTTGTATCAGGATAGAAACTTCTCTTTTACAATCGGATAATTTAGAACGAAGTCTCTTAGACCTTGCCGCTTACACTTCTAGACATCCCGAATACGTGCGATTATTATAATCCTTACTAATATTATAAATTGGAAAGGGAGTTTGTTTGTTTGTTCCGCTTTCACGCCGTAACTACTTAACCGATTGCTTTGAATTTTTGCAGACATAAAGTTAGAAGTCTGGATTGAATAATACGGTACTTTTTATCCCGGAAAAATTGATTTCCCGCTGTGTGTATTGGTATATGTCACATAGGCTACTTTTTATCCTTTTGTGACGCGAGCGAAGCCGCGGGTAAAAGCTAGTTGTATTATAATTGTTTCTAAAGCCAAGACATTTCTTTATTTCAAAACTGTCGCGGTCCATGGTAAAATACAATCCAGCCAATTGACAGACAGACACACAGCAGTCTTCGTCTTTAGTTTTTACTATCTCGGTATGTTGCTTACACACCCAAACAAAAAGGAGAATAAGGTGACAATCCTCATTGAAGTCGCCGTCTCTATTAAACTGCAAATGTTTACAAATAAATTGTATTGAAGCGATCCGGGAGCTGGGGAGCGGTTAGCTCCACGGTCCGTGCGCCAGTGTTGCACGCGCCCACGCCGCGTCGCCGTCGCTGGGGAAGTATTATTTCTGGAACTAAATATTCGCAATGCAACAATACAGTGCAAAATGGCGGATGTAGTGTCCCGCGGCCGCGGCGCAAGTGGAGAACTGTTGCAATGTGTGAGTGATGCACTCGTCCTCGCGCTCTACGCGTAAACATGCTATTAATAGAGGAGCGAGCGCGGCACGCTGCCTCACCTGTCTCGTCACTTCGTCACTCGCGTACATGGGTGCCTGTTACCCGGTAATCCCGGTATGTATCGTCCCGTGTCCGTCTCCACTTGTCCACTTATGAAATGCAAACGTCTTTCTCGTCGTCTTTTCTCAATTTGTGTTTGTGCTTGGCACTCAATTCGCCAGTCGATACTGAACAGAAGCGATTCCGTTTAGTAGATGACTGATGACGTTTACTTGGAGCGAGTGGCAGCTGCTTCAAGCACATCCCGCTTAGGGTCATATATATATATATTTATATTTATATATGTATACTGTTTTACTTAGATTCGTTGGATTTTTGAGGCTGTCACTTAGTATAACGACTGTTCTTATTGCAACCGGAATAAATGACTGTCCGAGACTTACTAGACCTCAGATATGAGTAGTTTTCCAAAACAAATCCGCGCCACATCAAACACATGCGATGGACTGCATCACACAGCCTACTGCGTCAACCACAACTGCAACTTACAGAAACGTCATTCTTTTGATAAATAAGGCACAGCGTCAACAAACCGTACCAATACCAACTGTCCTAGTAGTTAGGATTGCTAGACTTACGAGGCGCGCCTGATGGTGTGGTCTCTCTCGGGAGCCACGGCCGGCGGCCAGACGTCCTTGTGACGTACGCCGGCACGCAGTGTGACGGCAACACTAATATAAAATAATGGGAGTCGTATAGTTAGTAGATATCAATCTTGTTAGGATTATCTTATCTGTAGCACGAGGGCAATTGATAGTTGTACGTTGTACGGTCATTTAGATTCCTATTGTTTGTGGCAGTGTGTCGCAGATTGCATCGTGACAGTATGTGGAGTGTGTGCGTGCGATCAGAACCAGACCCGGCTGGAAGCAGGTCGCTCGCCATCACCGCCAGCCGCCAGCCGCGCCTGTCTGCTGGAAGTGTGTGCCGCAATGTTGGCCATCACTTACATACATACGACCTTAGATAAAAGTATTTTACAAATATGTATAAGTAACTAGCGACCCGCCCCGGCTTCGCACGTGTGCAATATGCATGTTTTATCTTCTTCTTCTTTAAGAATCACTCATTCTATTAAAAAAATCGCATCAAAATCCGTTGCGTAGTTCTAAAGATCTAAGCATACATAGGGACAGACACATGGCGGATAGCGACTTTGTTCTATACTATGTAGTGATTTTTTTAAGGGGGGAAAATCATCGAATGACTGCTCCCGCCTGGGTGAGGCGGGAGGGAGTGTCAGACTCTTACTGACTAAAAACCACCCCGTTCCTTCTCCTGCACGTCGAGCCGGAGCCCCGGTTACCCGTTAGGTTTTCCGCGACTCCGAATCGGCATCGGCCGTATTGAGCCCCATCTGTGGTGGTCTGATGGCTCATTGAGGCGCGCGCGGAACGCGACGCGCCGTACGCTCGGGTCTGTTTCTGGTCGGACGGGGAGCCACCCATGCTCGCCGTCCGCAGGCCCGCGCTTACGGTGGCCGGAGATCGTCCCGCGATCCCCGACGCCCGGTGTGTCCTTCGCGATGGCTGGGTTGCGAGGAGGCAGCGCTTCGCTGCCTCACGCGTCCCGCCTCCTCCTTAGCTAGCATGACTGCTTCGCAAAAGGAGGAGACGGCATCCCAATCCCCCTCGCTCCGCATCATGGCCTGCACTAGGCCCGGACGCGAGAGGTCGCCATCGCCGATCACTTCCCTGAGGACACGGCGGTGCTCAGCCCACGAAGGGCATTCTCCCACCGTGTGTTCCACCGTGTCCTCAGGGCGGTCCTCGCAGTGATGACACCCGGGCGTTTCCTCCCGCCCCATCAGACACAGGTACCTCCCGAAACTTCCATGTCCGGTGAGGACCTGCGTCAGGCGGTAGGTGAGGACGCCGTAGCGTCTCTCAAGCCACTCCTCAAAGAGGGGACTTACCGCTGCGATGGCAGCGAGCCCAGCCCTCGGTTGCGACAGTCGTTGCTGCCATTTCGCCATGAGATCGCGCCGGAGCTCATCCCGCCACGCACTTATCTGGCGCGGCAGCGGAGTTTCGCCTCCGCGCGCATGCTATACACGCGCGCGCAAACCTTCGCCTCCAGATCCCACGGCGGTAATCCGGCAAGGAGGTTCGCCGACTCCCCGAAGATCGTGCGGTATCCGCGGAGCATTCGGATCGCCTCTGTGCCATGAGCAGCGTCCGAGCGGGACGGTGCAACAGGGGCGCCGTAGAGGGCCATGGACCGCACGACCCCGGACTATGTAGTGGTGAAGTATTAGAACCGCCGTCGCTTGTCAAGTTGTTAACATACACGAGGTCTCTGATTTCACTTTCGTATTTTTTTTGAAGTATTGATTAAGTACTTATGCGCCCTGTAAGCATATACTGAACCCACGTTATCCTTTCGGGACATAACAGACCTAATAATTGACCTTTCAATCATTCGTAGACCGAACATGACGTGAGTAAATATGCCCATCCTTCACATTCCTCAAGGTACTTGGTACTCTCTGCGATGCTGCTCGGCTGCTATGTAACATATCAAATCGACGTTGTCGAGATTGTTCTCATAACCAACGACGTGGCGGACCACGATCGAGCTCACATCGAAAGTTCGAATTGACATTTTACAGACTAGCCTAGCTGTACTAGATTTATCACCTGTGGCACCACCTTCATATAAGGTCCTGATAACCTTATGTGACAGATAGTTCTCAATTCAATCTGTTGTTGTGGCTATCTAGACATTGCGAAACTGGCTCTTAAAGAACTTGTGGCGTCTAGTTGTGTTAGCCTGCAGTCATGTAATACCGTCGCGTCGTCCGTCGTTAGATACGGTAGTAGATGATTTTGTATATATATATATATATATATCTGTATTGAAATGAATAGCTATGAATTATTATTAGTGTTTATGGAGAAACACTGAGGCACGTGGCCAGTGCGCCGGCCAGCGAGCTCGCGGCGGCGGCGACAACAATACGAGGATTGTTTGTCCGCAGCATTGTGCTCCGCGCAGTACTGGCCACTATTCACTACGCACCATTCAACCGCACTCGCCACTCATGTTTGTATTACCCTTTTGGAACTCCGGCACTGGCTCACGGGCCATGTACGTGTCATACACGGGCCACTTGTAGAGCTTACAAAGGTGCCTTACCAGATTTTTTCAAGGCGGGAAAATCATCCAATGACTTTTCCCGCCTGGGTGAAGCGAGAGGTAGTGTTAGACTCTTACTGAAAACCACTCCGTTCCTTCTCCTGTCCTTCGAGCCGGAGTCCCAGCAACCCGTAAACTCCTTCACGACTTCGTAGTGCCTTAGTAGCTAGGACCTATGACGAACTATGGTTTTCTTACGCTTTGCACTAACTACGACTCCGATAACATTTGAATCCGTAGTGTTCCCGCTCCTCATACTGTGGACATTTATTTATTCATACATGCAATATGCTCCACGTCACGACTTCACAGTTCAGTTCAACTGCACAGTCGACCTGTACACTGTACAGTGTACCTATAGTTAAATCGTAGTAGAGTATGCGCTGCATGGACCTACGATGTACCCGTATACGGTCTGTACGTGAACGTGTGTACGTTCTGCGGTTTAACTGTACTGTGCGCACCTCCTTACTAGCGACAAGACCGTCGATACCTCCACGGAGTTACACACCACGAACCGCACTTGACACGCATACGTCACTTGTGACATTTACCTCGTATAGTAGTAGTTGACATGTGTAGTTCATGTCCCGGACTCGTGCTGTCACAATTATAATGTGATAGTATTCCAGGGGAGCAGCCGATGTGTGGGGGTTTTATTCACTAGTTAGGTTCACGATGTCGGGTCCGAGCAGTGCCTGACAGCGCGAACATGTGAGCGGCGGGAGGCATGCGCGGCCGCGGCTGACGAGCGCACTCGTGTTGCAGGTGATGCGCGGGTGGTGCGTGCGCTGGGCCGGCGGGCCGCGCTCGCGCCTGCGCTG